GAGAGAGAGAGAGAGAGAGAGAGAGAGAGAGAGACAGAGAGACAGAGCGAGTGAGCGAGCATGCGCACGCACTCGCAAGCACGAGCAGGGGGAGCGGCAGGCAGAGGGAGAAGTAGGCTCTCCGATGAGCAAGGAGCCAGATGCAGGACTCAATCCCAGGACCCTGGGATCATGATCTGAGCTGAAGGCAGACGCTTAACGACTGAGCCACCCAGGAGTCCCTATTAAACATTTTAAATAACAACCATGGGGCGCACCTGGCTGGCTCAGTCATTACAGCATACAACTCCGGATCTTGGGGTTGTGAGTTTGAGTCCCACACTGGGTATAGAAACTACTCAAAAATAAAATCTTAAAAAGAAAATAACAATAGGAATAAAAATCCTACCAATCTTATAACTAACCTGGGAATTAAATTCTTTTTACTTTTCAAATTTTCTATGATTTATTATAAAATAGCAATTTTCCACAAATTTCTCTTTATAATTGATAACAATCTTTAGATTATAATTGCTTATGAATGCTAATGTAAACTGACTGAAGGTACTTGTGTATAAATGGTAGGCTTCTCAAGAAGAAGTGGTCTCCAAGGATAAACTGGCGCTTTAATTATATTCCAGAGACTCTTGCCCACAGTAATACCATTATATTAACACTTCGTTGATTAATGTTAAACATTTGCTTTCAAAATACATCAGTTTTTTACCCAGAATACATAGCTATGCACAAAGCTCAGCTGTTTACTTTTTGGAAGTCCTAGTGGTTCTCAAAGTATAGCGCTGGGACCAGCAGCATCAGCAACACCCGGAAACTTGTTAGAAATACACATTTTAATTTTTTTTATTTTTTGAAGATGTTATTTATTTGACAGAGACAGTGAGAGAGGGAACACAAGCAGGAGGGAGTGGCAGAGGGAGAAGCATGCCTCCCGCTGAGCAGGAAGCCCAACACGGGGCTCGATCCCAAGACCCTGGGATCATAACCTGAGCCGAAGGCAGACCTTCAACGACTGAGCCACCCAGGCGCCCCAGAAATGCAGTTTTAGGCTCACCACAGCTGACTGAATCAGAAACTCGGAGAATGGAGCCCATGACATGTGTCTTAACGTTCCCACCAGGGGATTCTAATGCATGCTTAAGTTTGAGAACCACTGGTATATTTCAACTTTTTACTTCTCTTCCTGGTCTCACCCCCCCCCAATTTAGTATTCTTATGACAAGCTTACATATATTCTTATGACCAACCTTAATGGAGAAGATGAATTTTGGACCAATATCTTCAAAACTGTGCACGACAGAAGGAACATTCCCATCTGAGGAGACTTCATAAAAATTTATGTTGGTGGATCTGTTGGATGATGTTTGTAAAGCCAAATATTTTAGTTTTGCTGTTGTTCTCGAAGCTTAATACTTGCTTTATTTAAATATCTTCTAGCTTATATTACAAGTAAACGTTTATATTTAGGTCTAAAAACCTAATGAAAACAAATGCTACTTATAGGCTAATGTTTCCAAGACAAAAACAAATTCCTTTAAAAACATATCCCTTCATGATCTTTCCACAAGATTCTTTGTGTTCTATGTTGTGTTCTACAACTGGTAAGTTGTAAGGTTTCTAAAATAAGTACAAATGTGTTACTTTAGAACTGGTAGAACTCAAGATTGCTATTACACTGACTGGTGTGCTAATGCAGTGCACACTTGGTCCTTGTTGATCGGATGAATGGATTGATAAGCCAGAGGATTTTACACTTGGGTGGCTGAAATGCAATGATAGGGTATTGAGTTTTAGCTCCTGCAGTATTTTGTACTGGATGCCTGTAAAATAGGGCATACATTTTCCTTGTTATTCCTTCTCCCTATCCTTCTCTAGTTCCAAACCAACTCTAATGTTTTTGGTCTGAATTGAGGTTGGTCAATCTGTTTCCGTGACTAGTGTAGAGACCACGTTTATGAAGGCTGACCCAGAGGTTTCATTAGACTAAACTTAGAGGTATCAGATGATTTGATCTCTTTGTTTGGGGTTGCCAACTAAGGTTTGCAAGTGAAGGGAGGACCAGGTCAGAGGAACCCCGACAGGACCGCTCAGACTGGAACATAACTGGATACCCTTCCCACTCCCCTTCACTCATTTCCGGGGCTGAGGCTGGATTCCAACCAAGCTAACCTCACTGGTAGCGTGGGGGCTTCGGTAGCAGGCATAGGGGTCCAAAAAGCAGTATTTCTTTCCCCTGGGCAGTGTATCCTAATTCTAGGATGATGATTCTATTTCCTAAAAAGAAATTTGAACTGGACATTTTCTGAGATAGTTTTTGGGCTTCTTTATGGAACTCCTGTCTTTTTTTTTAATGCCTAAAACTTTCCCAAATTCTCTAAAGGAAAATATGTCCAAGGAGACTCAAATAGATGTGGCATTTGTCAAGGTTATGGAGATGAGAGGAAATAATGATTTGTCAGCCTTACATGGAAAATGGGAATACTGACTAGACTTTGAAACAGAAAGCCTGGCTGTATTTGCATGAATTATTCCCTTTACCTTCCAGAAGACCTTTGTGTGAGCCCCTAAGAAGTTAGTTTCTAAGTTAGTATATTCTGCTTTTGCAGTTTAAAGTGATCTGACATTTTCCCATTTGTTACTTAAGTTTTCCTTAAGTTAGGTGAGTGTGGGTGATCAGTGTATTTATAAGCAGTTGTCTAAGCTTAGGGGGCTCCTGTTTTTAAAATAATTCTATCATGATTTCCACCCATAATATTTGCACAGTATAACTGTACATTTATCAAAGTACAATGAACCCAAATGACTGGGTAGGACTTTTTCAAAAAGTTTAAAAAAAAATTTTTACAGTACTTGTGATGGTTAAACAAAATAAATCTGCAAAAATCGTGAACTGGTTACATAAATTATGATCCAGCCAGGCATAGGATAAGTTAGATCTGTATGTCCTGATATAAAAACTTCTCTAAGATTACATAAAAAGCAAGGTTAGAGAAGGATTTTATCATTCCATTCGGGTGCGTGTGCACGTGACGTGTGTAGATCCTGGTAGACAGACAAATCTCGCATGTGGAAGGTATTCTGAAAAATAGCTGAGTCATCTATGGAATTTCCAGAGGAGGTGGGAGGGATGACTTCACTTTTCATTGTCTTTCTGTAGTGTTTGGATTTTTGGTTTCTTTAAAAAAACATGAAGAGGAATTATCTGGGTGGTGGGATTAGGAGCCATTTTAGTGTTTACATATAATTCTCCATATTAATTTGTAAAAAAAACTTTCTGGTATATTTTAAAGAACATCAGATGGTCTTAAAATCCAGTTTACCATCACAAAAATACAGAGCTAAGATGTTACTGAAAGTGAAGTCCCACTTCAATCATATTTATTTCATGTTAAACTATCTGGAAAAATTGGCCATGGTGTGAGACTAGAATCCTATAAAGGCTGTGTTAAGAAAAAGCATTTAGGGTAAGAATCAATGTAGGTAGGAAGAAAAAAAATCAGGTGCTGTGGTAATAACCTCTCTGGATGCACTGGTCTTCAGTTCTTTGAGCACTGCAGGTCCTTTTGGAATCTGCAGTTACTGATTAATTTTTCAGGGATGGATGACTTGGGCTATATTTTGTTCTGCCTTTGCTGTTTGCAGAAGCATTCTTTCATGTTTGCTCATGTATCTCATGCTCTCGACATAATGACACATTTTCCTTTTTGTTTTTGCTCAGTGACCTACTGCATGATCTGTGTTCCATGCTTTTAGGGGGTGCGGCAATGTGGCAAGTTGGAGAAATCCGCTGTCCCTAAACACTGTGCGAGGCCTGGCTTCTTGGCAATACACTGCAGCGCATTTTCCAGGCATGACTGCTGTGTGCTAGGAAGCTGCCTTCGTACCTCACCAGTTGGAGAACTCTGGCTCCCAGGCTGGGAGCAGGGCATCGCCTTCAGCCTGCGTACCCGCACAGCTGTGCTCATGTCTGCGCCCATGAACCTGCTTCCCTTCTTAGGGGGAGTTAAGGTGCTGCGTCACCCTACTCGTGCCTATGGTGTTCCACGTGTTAGCCACTTCTCAAGACACCTGCCCCTCTGAACAGTTCAAGATAGCTGCTACCAACCAGGATCATTTTGCCGCTGCTTTCAGCTATGCTTGCTCTGGTCAGGCAAGAAAAGGGAATAAATACAGTATTTCTTCGTAGATGACTTCCTTTGGGAAATGCCTCGTTTCCTCTCAGTTGGAAGAAACCCCTAATCGGTTATGTCAGGAATTTTCCACCCAGAAGCTGATTTTCTGTGATGAGATTTCCTATTTGTGGTGGACCTACTATGTGCAAAAGCATTGTGCTTGGGGTTTAAGTGTTTAGGGATGGGGCATTGCTTGTGAGCTCATGGGGATGGCAGGAAGCAGGCGTGGAGAAGGAAGTGGTGGCAACTCCTCAGGGCCCAAAGCGTTCTGCTGTGGCCCCTAGGGAAAGCGGGCACCTCATCTGAAGGCCCGCAGAGGTCTTTCCCTGCGACACGTGGCAGAAGGGCTGCTCCGCTGGCTCTTCTGGTGTTGCTCTCAGTCCATAAACGACATAGTCACTCAAGGTTCTCCTAAGGACGCACTTGTCCCTGGACTTCTGTTTTAGTTGGCAAGGGGGAAATATTTAGTTCAAATTTTCCAGTTAAGAATGAACATAAAGAGGATTTCTTTAGTCACGAACCAAACGTGTTACAAACCGAGTGATATCAGTGGCCAGAGGCTACTCAGTGTTTCACCTACCTTGTTATGTGAATATCGGCATCATACCGCAGAGGAATTTTGAAGTTGACCAAATTATCTGCCTTGTTTTCTTCATGGCTTTCGCTATTGAAACAGACATTAGGAAACTACTTAGAAATATTATTAAAACCCATCTATTATCAATTCATGGCTTCATTATGTTTTACCTTAAGGCTTGGAAATGGACAGATGCCTGATTCTGAAGGTTTTGAAGATTGAAGTCAAAGTTAATAGTGAAAGTCACCTATACACAAAATTAAAGTTCATTAATCTAGGATGGTTCATACTCAGGGACCAATTAAAAAAAGTTCCCCAGAAAAGCAAACTCACCCCAATTTGATTCTGAATTGTATATGCCTTAAGCTTTCAAACTTGTAGAATATCTGTTCATCCACCTTGCTGTATTTAGCATGCCTCACCTTTAGAATTAGAGGGCCTACACCTTTCGAGTCGCATGTACAGATCTTCACATCACAGGCATAGCTACTTTTCAGAATTTGAAAGTTCTGTGCCAATGTGAAATTTGCCCACCAGGGGTTAACACAGGATAGCTGTGACTCTATACAGCACTCTGACCAGTGTTGGTCAATGTATTCAGTAAAAAACAAAAAAAACAAAAAAAACCAAAAAAACTCTCCGTCTTGTATGTGCTTTTGAAATGAATTGCATGGGAGAAAATCCTACCTTTATTAATAACTTAAACCATTCAGATATTTTAAAAACTTCCTGTAAATATGCAGTTTGTGACACCTGTCAAATCATGTTACCTAACAACGAAGATGGGATGGTGGTGAATGAACACTAGTACCAAGAGCGGCTAGTGTGGATTTGAGGATGAAATGCAAGTTGTACCTGTTGCTCCCTCTTCAAAGCAGGGTAGCCAACATCACAGGTAACAGTCTTCTGAGATGAAGCAATCTGGCATGTTACTTCTGTCCCATCAACCTGAAAGAGACCAAGGAAACAATGATCAATATGTAGAGTGCATGTGTGTATGTGTGCACACATGTGTGGGCATGCATGCGTGTGCACATACATGCTGAAGGATGTATAAACCACATGGGCATTTTAGCAGGAAAGCTGGTTCACAATGAATTTATTGTCCCCCAAGACTCAAAAAACTTATATTGTCCAGGTAGCTATTCTATTTTAATTGCTAAGTAGGACACCCAATAAGCCAAAAGTGAGGTCAAATACTGGAATTTTCCCCCAGAACTTTAAATCATAGTTCTTATATTTCAGAAGCACAAAATAACTTTAATCCAATATTTAGAAATGCTGTCTTTAATACATACCCTTCTCTCAATATATTTGAAATTTGTACTTTCAAGAGAAGAAAGCAAATCGTATGTTGGTGTTTGTATTTTAAATAATTTAAAGAATCTTTAGTTCTCGGTTTTTTTTTTTCCTCTTTAAAATAAGAAGTTCCCATTTGGCACAGGAAATTGAAACACAGAAGTCAGAATAGATTTAGAACACTAAATCTGTTAAGTTCGTGTTGACTTTAACTTGGATGAAGCCATTTTTAATCCTTTTATCAAGTAGTGAATTTGGGAAATCTCAGCTTTTCCCTCCTCTCCCTTTCATTGCTTGGTGGCAATGGAGGGGCCAGAGGGACATTCATGGCCAAGTGTGTTCCTGGTATAGTGATCAAGTCAACATGATTAACTGACCTCGCTGGAATGCAGCGTCTTGGCAGTAGCAAGACTTGTGGTTACAAAGCTTGGACCGGGTGCTAGGGGACTCTAACTTCTCAGAGCAAGTGCAGTTCGGAGCATCTGTGCGGCACCACGGCAGCCTCATCCCACAGATGGCTTGAGAAGAGTTATGGTTGTGTCTGGCCAAGTCTCAGGGCAGAGGAAAAACTGACCAAGCTGTGAAGCAGAATTGGTCTAGATACAGAGCCAGGTTGTATAAATAATGTGGTTTAACTAGTTGGGAGCCCCAAAGTTAGGACTGATTGCACTTAGGCGTAAGATGCTTCTTCAGATAGCACACAGGACACGGGGATGTGAGTGTGAGCAAGAGGGTCACTAATGTCAGGCAGGAAACACAAGAGTGGTGAGCCTGGAGTGTCGTCACCTACCGGCATGGACCAGGAAGCAAAAAACAAGTTTTCTGAAAAATCAACAACAATTCTAGTGTTGTATGCACTTTCCCTTTTGTTTTTCAGTGTTATTGAAAATGTTAACCTTCTGTTTTGGTTGCTGACAATAAAGAGTTGATCTCTGTTAAAAGGAAAAAAAAGAGAGAGAAAATTAAGGTTAAAAAGGCTGGTGTTCAAATACTTCACTCATTTTAAAAAAATAAGAAGATAAAACTCTTTAGATTCGGAGGACTGAGAAAGTTGTTTAATAAACCGTCTTCATAGTAAAATGATGCAGATGACAAATAAGTCAATGCTATTAGATTTTCTTCTTCATTGATTTTCATTACATTGCAGGGAGAGGAAACACCCCAAATACAAATGGTTTGAGATTTATTACTGTTTTACTCCTTTATGGATGGTAGAAACTGAAATTCAGATTTTAAGGGTCCTTATTAGTTATGGATGTTTCTTTTGTAGAAAAAAGTCTCCATAAACATTCACTTGAATAAAGTGATCTAACGTGTCTTATTTCTACATTTTACACTGAGCTCAAGAGCAGACTTACTGAGTGGCTGATAGTTGTTGGACATCTAGAACTAGATCCGAGATACAAACTCCATCATCCCCACAGTCTTTGTAGAAAGGGATCTACAAAAAAGGAAAAACAATCCCACACATTTGCTCTTGAGTTAAAAACCAGACTGTGGAAGAATACATGTAGAATTATTCCATTTATACAAAGCTTAAAACCATGCAAAGCTAAACAACATTTTAGGAATATATACATGGTTAGCAACATAGGAAGAAAGGCATCAATAAAGGCAAAATGCAAGGTGATGATTTGCCTGGGGGAGCAAGATGAACGTGGATGCGGTGGACGTAGGGAGGGATGCAGAGGACATAGGTATTGGTAACATTTTTTAAGTGGGTGGTAAGCACAAGGTGTTTGACTTTATGGTTATTTATTTCTTCAAAAAATATTTATTGAACACCTATGGTGGGCCAGGCACTGCTCAAGGGGCTGGGAATAGAGCAGTGAAGAAGATAAAAAATCCCTGTCCTTCATGGAACTTGCATGCTGGTGAATTTTGCACATACAAGTATTTTCACATGGAAGACGAAGAGCTGAAAAGCTATGTCCTAGGTAGCTTTCAAACACGACTGCGGGAACTATGAAGCTTTCTTAGCCAGTCTGAATTCCAGGAAGGGCAAGCTGCACTTACACTGAAGACCTTGGCCTTCTCAGAGTAGACTTCAAGGGCGGGGCTGGTGCCAGGGTTTTCCAGACTGATGTTCACACACAGATCCAAAGAGTTGACAACGTCAGAGGGCTTCTAAACACACACAGACACAGCGAGGCAGTTTACTAGGGCACGGCAGCTTCAAAACAAGAAAATGACCACCAATGTGTTCAAATTAAGAACACAGTCCCCTCTCCGTTATGGAGAATATCCTTGTTTTGAATTTTCCAGACTCTTGCTTCTTTTCTGTCTTAATTCTGCCCTTAGCCTCTCCACTACCAAGAAACTTAGAGACTTGGGTTCAAGTAAAAATCGGAAGCAGCAATTCTTAGTTAAGCTCACCGGCAATCTTGTTATTCATACACAATTTATAAGTATTTAGAGGATATGCCATTTTAATACTTAAAAGTCCTATCAGTACACGGCTCTCGGGTTGTTGGCTACAGTCTTCCCAGTTCCTACTGCCAAGACTTAGGAATCCTTAGGTATCCTGACCAAATCTCCGGGAGGGCATATTATGACCTAGATGGGAAGGTGCTCAGGGCTGGCTATCAGGAAATGACAAGAGAACTCCCTTCCTTAGTCAGAGCCTAACTCTGCTCTACAAAACCAGGTAAAGGGGGTATCCTCAACTGGCTGTGAGGCTGGCACACAGGATGGGCTTGGGATTGATATCCAATACGGTGTGTTAACTGAGACAAGATCTCTTCTCTGACCCAAATCACACACATTTTCTTAAAAACTTCTCAAGTACACATCAGCATGAACAGGATATATGTGTGAACAACAGCTTGGCTGACTTCATTCCCCCCAGGTTTCATTTGATCTACGACTTAGCACAAAAATAGCAGAGAATGAGGGCTGGCTTTTAGCCCTTGAAAGGATGTGTATAATTGGCATCTTCACAAAAAGGTCCAGGCCTTCCTAAACAAGACTCCTTTAACATGAGAACATGAGCAAGAAATTAAACAATGCAATTGATTTTAATTCTTCTATTAACTCTGTTTTTCCAACTCATATTTAGTAGTTTTTGATATGTGATCTCTGTATCATTCATCTATATCAAAAATATCTGGGAGTACTCCTTAAATCTGCTTATACCTTGGAACTTTAAACCCAAATTTCTGGTGGTGGGAACCCAGAGTATGCATTTTATAAAAGTTCTCTTGGCAATTCTTATGCATCTTGAACTCTGAGAACCATGTTCTAGGAAAGTTTTTTTTTTTTTTTAAGAATTTATTTTTTTATTTGAGAGAGAGAGAGAGAGAGTGAGACACAGAGAGCACGAGAGGGAAGAGGGTCAGAGGGAGAAGCAGACTCCCTGCTGAGCAGGGAGCCCGATGTGGGACTCGATCCCAGGACTCCAGGATCATGACCTGAGCCAAAGGCAGTTGCTTAACCAACTGAGCCACCCAGGCGCCCTCTAGAAAAGTTCTTAAGCAGCTCTTTTAAAAATGGTTTCCTGAGGAACTCACACTTTCAAACACCATTACATGGTTCTGGGGGGAAACAGTCATATAATTTATAAAATCAATTTTCTGTTGGAAATTTTCCCCTGAGAAGCATTTTTCTTACTTGTGAGATTTTCAAAATTCATGTCAACTATAGTAACTATGGCATAAGACTGGAGCAAATAATTTTTACCTCATCCTTCACCTATATTAATTTAAATCCAATAGTGGAAATCACAATTGGAATTGTCCTTTTCAGCAGCTTAAAAATAAAAATTTTCCCTGATAGGAAAATGCTAGAATAAAACTTACTGTCTACTAAAAGCTTTTCCTGTTAAATGTTTAAGAAAGCACTGTGTTTGATTTCTTTAAGAATCCTATTTTTAGCCTTTCAGTTGTAATCCCAAATAAAATTTCATGCTAGTAACATACTAATGGAAGGCGACCATATGATAGCATAAATATAGGATTTCCTACTCATAAAATTAGACAAGAAAAGCATTAATTAAAAGGGCAAGCATTTTCTAACTCCCAAGCTTCCTTTTTAGACTTTGACCATTCACGAGTCGTTCAGAGGAAAAGATGAAAGAGAGGACTGAGGCCTCACCTGTATGTGGATGGTGTGCTCAGCGCAACTCTGTGCTTGGCTTACGAGCATATTCTTCTGCAGGCACCTTTCATTATTTTCTTTAAATAAACCCCTGGAGGTTACTCTGGATGAATATAGGTCTGCATCAATTGTGATGTTGTAGATAATGGCTATGATAAAAATCACAAAGAAATGTTATTGCAAGTAAACCTTTATAGAAAAACCATCCCTGCCTTACTGTGTCTTACTGGGTAAAGTCAAGGATTTCAAGAAAATATAAAAAGTCTTTCCATGAATGGATTGTGAGCAGTGGACGACCACGGCATTTGTAATTCAGACTCTGGTACGATGTAGGGGACTGTGGTTACAGAGAGAGGAGATTCAAAGAAGCATGGCTTGAAGAGTGGGGAACAAAGTGGACTTGCCACCAGGAAATCTACAGAGGGAATTTGGTCAAATTACTCACTTCCTCAAGCATCAGTTTTATCATCCCTAACATGGTGATATGATAAAGGAGTTACTGAGTGCCTACAATTGAACACATTCTCAGATGTTCCCTATACAAGTTTTACTATCAACCTGGGAAGTGGATATGATCTCATATTTCAGTTACTAAACAGAATAAAAGAGGTAAAATAAACCAGCTTCATTCACACAGCTAGGTCACGGTCAGAAATAAAGCTAGGGTGATTTTGAAATCAGGGCTCATGTTCTTTCAGCTTCCATGCAGTTGTGAGGATTAACTGTTATTTGAGATCAACTCTGAGGGAACACCCTAGATACTTTATTTGGGGGGAAGGCATGCAACTCCACAGTAATAAGTTTGGAGTCACACAGACTTGGTTTGAATTCTAATTCCACCATTTATGAGCTCTATGACTTTAGGCCATTTGTGTAACCTCTTTGAACCTCCATTTCCTCACCTATAAAACAGATAATACTACTAACCCAGGGAAATGAAAATGAAAAAAAAATGCAATAAAAACTGATGTTATTAGCCAATATACAAAGTATCAGAGCCTTCAGCTAGAGTCTGCTGTCCAAAACAGAAAGAAGATCTGATGATGTTCAAAGCATCAGCTGCCTTATCTGGGGTTACGCCATCTTATTTTACTATTTTCAATATTTTAAAGGTTGAATGGACTTCCAACATACATTAATTCTACAGGTTACCTTTAAAATATCTATTAGAGATATTGGATAATTTTTCTTGCTCCAATGACTTAAAATGAAGTTAACAAAGATAGATAACATATAAGTGAATCAAATGAACTAAAAAGTGGTGAAAATAATATAAAGGAAAAATGCCAGGGAGGTGAACGTAGCCAGGATAGAGTTAGTACACATGGTAATACTAGCTCATTTTTCTCAAGTAGCCTGGTGAAAAGGATGGCCTCATAGGCAATATATCAATTTTTTTAGGTTATTAACTTTAAACTGGAGCGAGTACCTGATACAATAAATAATAAAGACCATATGCTTTAGAAATTTACTTCTCAAAGTTGTGAAGATGGGATTCTGGTCTCACTCTTATTGGCAGACAATTAAGTGACAAATGATCATGACTGGCTTGTCTGTGTGGACCTGGAGACATCAAGGAAAAGGTCCCCAATGGGAACAAAGCCCAAGTAAGGACCTTCTCTGAAGGCGGAAAGCTGCTTTCCAGTTACAGCAACAGAAGGGGGGAAGCCCCATCGAAAAGAGGAAGATTTAGGAGACAAATCCATGCTTTCAGGCCAGGAGAGTGAACCAGCCAGCCATTTCTGCCAACTAATATATTTCCCGAATTAATGTTTTAGGCAGACTAGCCACTTAATGTTCCCCCCCCACCCCAAGCTTTGTTGAAATGTGATGGAGATATAATATTGTATCAATTTCAGCTATACAGTGTAGTTATTTTATATATGTAAATATTAGGAAATGATTACAATAAGGTTAACAGATCATCACCTCACACAGTTGCAATTCTGTGTGTCTCTGTGTGTGTGCGCGCGCGCGCGTGTGTGTGGTGAGAACTTTGAAAATCTCTCTTAGCAACCTTCAGATACACAACACAGTGTTGTTGGCCATAGTCATCTAGCCACTTAGTGTTTATACAGGAATGGTTTTTGACTCAACTCTCCTGGCTACTCAAACGGACCTGCTACAAGGCAGATCTGTGAGATGTGCTACTCAGAGTTGGGTCAGTGTTTGAACGCCTGAATGGAAAAATGCCAGAGAGCTATAAGGAGTAGGAAAATATGGAAAGCATGCCAAGATGTGAATCTAACTTCTGCTTTATGTTTTTAACCTATGTATTTCTTGGTATGAATCATGACAAAGACTGAAAATATAGAGGCAGGTTAAGTTGGTTTGTTAACCACTTAATGAAACACTTGTAGGAACTACAGGTGTCTGAAGGTTAGAGCCAAAATCTGATGGAAGGGGGATGAGAACCCATGAAAAAGCAGCGAGAGGAAGAAGGCAGTGTTTGAGCAAGTGCTAACTCCATTGCCGTGCTCTGCGGGTGCTGGCGTAGGAGAGGTGAGAGTGGCGGGCAGCGGTTCGGAAGGACTCGGCCGCACCCTGAAAGAGGACTCGCTGGTCCAAGAGAGAGATGACAATTCCTGGCGACATTTGTCCAACTTTCCTCACTCTTTCTTGCTGGCAGGACACATTTCAGATTTTTACCCACTTCTCCAGATTATTTAGAACATTTAAAACACTGGGCACAAACTGCATATTGTTTATATTTTCTCTTATTATCTCATGCCTATTAATTCCTCAAGAATAGGAATATTTGGTACTTGTGCTATACACACTGTATCTAGATCATGTCATAGCAGACACATGGCATAAAATATGGGTGTAACATCAGTGTCATCCGTGTGTGCCCAAGATTTGAGGTAAGGAACCCATGGGTAAAAGACATTTAGATAGAGCTGGGAGAGCCTGGGACTAGGTCCAGAGATGGTAACATTCTGCTGCAGAAATTTACTTTCTAGAGAAAACAGAGGAAGATCTACCCACATCTTCCATACCTAATTAACCATTCTGAGGCACCCTAAATGTGTGGCAACTTAAATATCTGCAAGACCCTTATTCCTTCTGATCTATAAGCCCAAAGTATAGGTTATATTCAGGACTAAAACTCCACAAGCAAACCTATCTCCACACAGATTATCTCAGGTCAACCCACCCACTTGATCGTTTTGCTTAGTAGGTCTAAACTTGGCACTGAAACAGAGTTTGAGTTTTATGTCAGCATTCTTGTTGAACAAAATAATTTTTTCTGGTGTGAACAAAGCTTCCACAGATACATCAGCAATACTTTGTGACCTGAAAGACATAAATGGAAACAGATAGGTTACTGCCAAGTGCACATGTTATAACCTTTACCTAGAGGACCCAGGGCCAGCATTATCATATTATTCTCTGCATGATCTAAGCACTTGAGCAGTATTTCATATTTGAAAGCTCTAAAATGGCAGGTAGGAATAAGGTCTTCTGTGTTTGTGAATGTACTGCCAGCCCAATCCACATTTAATATTTTTTGTTTGTTTGTTTGATGCATGTATAAGTGCAGGATGTGAGTCTGCAACCTCTTTGCAAATAAAGTCAAAGTCACGGTCCCTGTTGCCTATTGCCAACCACAAACAGTAATGTTTGCTCTTCCACAAAGGAAGGGAAGAGAGCAGGTGGCAAGGTGGGAGTGACGTGGCTGATGACCCAGGAGCGTGGCCATGGCCGAGGAGCGTGGCCATCTCCCTGTTGCCTCCCTTAATGGCTGGCAGCAATTCTTTGATGTGTGGGCATATGACCATGATGGTGACAGCTAGCCTGATACCAGAAAATGTCTGGGGAGTCTCTCAGGCAGGGCGCTAAAGACTTCAGACTCTTGCACAGCCCTTGAGATATCTAAAAATCTCTCACATACACATGGCCTCATTTGCTCCTATAACACTCCTATGAAATAGAATATCGTCTCCCTTTTATTAATGAAAAAGTCTGAAACAAACAAAAAACATTTAGTAACATCAATTTACTGAGTAATAGTTAGCATGTGAGGAATTAGAGCTCATGATCTCCTAGTTCCGCTGCCAGTAAAATTTTGTACATCATAATGACCCTGTGTGCACACGCTCCATTATTTACAGAGCAGCAGGTAGTAGTAATTAGTAATTTCACTGTTCTGAGAAGTACCACAAGAAGATGCAGAAGACATTTTCTCTTTCATTTCAGGTACCATCTGAAGGACTTGAGTCAACTGAAAAATTGTTTCATCAGTTAATCATGTACCTATAAGGCCCCCTAATAAGCAGCCAAAAAACATCTAACAACAAATACACCATGTCCTCAAGCCTACAAGATCTAAAATGTCTAAGTGAAAGTTTTCTGTAAGTCAATCTCTTTTAGAGAATCTTTTATCCCAGTGGAGATGGTGGCATCGATTGAAATGATTTTGTAAACTTTTTTTTAAAATTATTCTCAGGAAGTTACCCAGAAAATCTAGTCTCAGCACCTTATAGGAATGTGACGACAAAATGGCAAGAATCTAGCTTGACTGATCACCTCAATAAATTGACCCGACTCCATGTGTCTTGACTCTTTGAAGACTCAAATCCACCTTTAAATAAAAAAGTTTGGCCATCACTGGCAACATTAACAGGGAGTATCAGGGTGCCTGGCTGGCTCAGTTAGTGGAGCATGTGACTCTTAACCTTGGGGTTGTGGGTTTGAAACCCCTTATCGGTATAGAAATTACTTAAAATCTTTTTAAAAAACGGGAGTGTCATAGTATAGTAATTACATAGGCTATGAAGGATGAAGCCTACCAAGATGGCTGGAGGGTGATGTTCACTGGAAGGTATTTTTTAAAAAATTTATAAGAAATCATAAGTCCTGTGACTATGTTATCACACCTTGTATTTTTCTAATGGCATGTTACTCTTAACTGATTTTATTCAGTAAATATATTTTTTTAATGTGTCAGTCTTAAGTATGATCTGTGCATTGTTTTCCTCCTACGTGAAGTTTTCATTAAAATGATGCACTCAAAACAATGCATTTCATTTTTCAAAAGCACATGTGAAATATTGTAGTTTATGTAATGTTGTTCGGTTCTTGAAGTATTTGGGCATTTAAAACACAGTTTTCAACAGAGATGAATGAAATATATTTGGGGGAGGGGACTCTTGATCAAATGCTCAATTTCTGATTCCAATCCCTGGCCAACCCAATATATTTATTTTTGTCCTTGAATCACACAGCCCTGGAATCCCCTATTGCTCCTCCCTGCTCTTCAACTCCTACCGAGGTCAGTGAGAGGTCAGCTAAACCTAAATAATGGCTTCTTGTTTAGGACCAATAATTTCAAAAGTTACTTCATAACCACATGAGAAGTTATACTTCACTTGTGTGGTCTGAGTGTTCAGTATTTTTAGAGCATTCTCATGAGGCTTCCTTTCTGTGAGCTGAGGTAAGGTTATTTGGAAGATAATATTCAGAAATATCTTGGATACCATTTCAAAGGCTCTGTCTTTTCTATGTCCTTTATCTGCTCACCATATAGAGAAGAGGAACTTGACAGTAATATTAAACAAATATTTTTCTTCTCCCACAAGGAAAAACACATTTCTTCCTTTGACACATAAACTATGACACAATTGTCCTGGAGTCTTCTAGAATGCATGTGGCATTTCCACAATTTCAGCACAGCTATCTTAACAGTTCATTTTTTTAGTTAGCTAGTTTGTGTCTGGCTCTCAACTGACTCACCACAGCTGAACGACTTGCCCAAAGGCACCAACAGACACGTCGGTGATAGAATCCCCATTTAAGTCACCATAACCATCCAAAGATCTCCCAAAGTACTGGAGCTGGCTCCTAAAGGCTCCATCGGATCCCAAGATTTTCTGAAAGAGCAAGTTTGACATGAAAGTATAATATGTAATAACTGAAATAGAAAAAAAAAGGGAGCTTCTACACTGCACTGTTAGATTTTCTATATAGCCACTTCAAGTTGTTTTATTCTCCACAAAATCCCATTGATTTCTCAATCACAGCTTTTCTCATCTGTTTATCATGCTTGCAGCCACGTTAAAGAAACAGCATGAATCTTTAAACATAAAATCACAAAGCAGCAGATCACTGGGCTGAGCAGGATTTGAAGCGAGCTCAGGTATGATTGCTCTCCTAGACCACGTCTTTTAGGACTTCCCTGGAAAGTTGCCTGATCAATGAGGCCCCCTTGGTCACCCTTTAAACTACCTAATAACTCCCATCCCTTAACATTTAAAAAAATTTTAAATGCCTTATCATTTATTATGATCTGGAACACTATTTCACTTACCTTATTTTCTCCTCTGTCTCCTCCACAAAAAATGTAAGATCCACAAAGAACAGAATTTTATCTGTCCTGTTCTTTTTTTTAAGATTTTATTTATTTATTTGACAAAGACTGAGAGAGAACACAAGTAGGCAAAGAGGCAGGCAGAGGGAGGGAGAGAGGGAGAAGCAGGCTCCCTGCTGAGGAAGGAGCCTGACACAGGGCTCGATCCCAGAACCCTGGGATTATGACCTGAGCCGAAGGCAGCTGCTTAACCGCTGTCACCCACCCAGGCACCCCATCTGTCCTGTTCTTTACAGTATCTCCAGACCCAGGACGCTTGACACAGAGTAGGAGGCTCACTAAATATCTGCTTAATGAACAAATACAGTTCTAAAATAAGTGGGATGGATCAGATCGTCTGCATGTACTCTGTTACTCTAACATGATGACACTCACATGTGAATGCATCACTATGGAACTCACGGATTACCTGAGAATATCTCATGCGAATGGTGCTCTCGTGACCGTTGTAGATATACACAGCTCCAGAGTTCTGATTTTCCAAAGGTGAACCAACTATTACATCGTTAAAGCCATCCATGTTGATATCTGAAAGAGCTGCAATCGCTGAACCAAACCGAGCATTTTCAACACCCTCAGGGCCTTCAAGAAATTGGTGCCAATTCAAAACGCCCTTGCAAAGGGGAAGAGAGGGATGATTAAAGCAAACCTTCCAACTTTTATCATTAAAATTCACAGCAAATGATGCCCGAACCATTTTGTCAACTGTTAAAGGCAGACAGGATTTCAAACCTAGATTTCAAAATTCTCTATGATGAGAATTATAAATGAGAATTCTAGCAAGTAAGCTCATAGGATGTGTGCTCATAAACCAAAGTGAAAGGAACAAATTCCCTACTGCGGCTGCACACCTACATAACACTGCCCATATCTTTGCCTCTTTCCCCCCTTAATATTAGAATCTTGACCTGTTTCCGAAACCTTTAAAATTTGCTGATGAAAATCTAATATCTTGCATAAAATTAAGATGGAGACACAACAAAAAACACAGTATCTTATTTTAGACCTTTTCTTAAAAATTACTGAACAGTGGCATAATTATAATGGGACAGGAAGTAGAAAATGAGACCATTTGGTTCCAGTTCAAGATGGTAAGTCTGAACTCACCCCCCTTCCCTGGAACCCATCAAATTACACCTATTAATAGAATAATTCCTCCTAGAAAACAAAACAACAAAAAACAACCGAGGGCTGACTGAACAGCTACTGAACAACCAAAGATAGAGAAAATGGCAAAAGAACACAAAGAGAGACAGAGACACAGTAACAAAGGGAAACTGATGCAGTAGGGTTGCAGAGTACTGTGAGGGCAGGCACAAATTCCTCTGTCCTTGGGCACAGAAAATAAGCCACAGTTTAAAAGAGCAATTGGCATCTAAAAGAGACAACACTAGAACTCTGCCACATTGTGGAAGAGCTGCGGGCTAAGCTCTCCAAGTCAGAGGAACTGGAAAATGATGGTTTACATTATTACCATTCCACCTTAAAACCTCGGTCAGAACAGGGTCTGATCAGCAGATGGGCAGGTCTGGTTGTCTCTGTGAGCTCTCAACCTCACTGACCTCAACAAGCCCATGATCCTCAAGCCCACACCAGTCTCAGTGGTGTGGTGCTGGGACACAGAAAAAAAGCCACAGTTTAAAAGGGCCAAGGAACGGTGGGAACACTCTCTCCCCCTCCACCTTTAAAGCCCAGACTGGAGCAGGGGTCCAAACACAATCACCAGTGGATTTAGATGCCATAACATACAGGTCCTAACCCTATAAATGGTAGGGTTCAGTCATCAGAGGGGGCTTGCAACATCAGCAAGCCCAGGGTCCATAAGCCCATACCAGCCTCTGTGGTGCCAGGGCACAGAAAATAAGCTGTGGAATTTTAGTTCTTTATATTTTTTGTTTTGTTTTAATTAAAACAAGTTTTTATTTTTAAATTAAAAACTTTTATTTTTCTTTTTCTTTCAAATTTTATTATTTTCCTTTTTCTGCAAAAAGCCACAGTTTAAACAAATAACTAGCATATACAGCCCCAGCTCCAAGCACAGTCTGCAAAGGGACACCAACCTTCAAGTTCAGGAGCAGTAGCTGTTCTCTCTAATCCACAGAAACAAACACAGAAAGTCAAGCAAAATGCGGAGACAGAGGAATATGCTCCAAAAGAAAGAAAGAAAAAAAAAAACAACAACTCAGAAAAACAACTAAATGAGACAGAGATAAGCAACATGCCTGATAAAGAATTTAATAATTGTGAAGATAACTGGGCTGGAGAAAAAAGTGGAAGATCTTAGTGAGACTTTCAATAAAGACATAGAAAATATTAAAAAGAACCAATCAGAGTTGAAGAATACAATAACTGAAATAACAGGGAATTAACAGTAGATTAGAGGATGCAGAAGAACATACCAGCAACCTGGATGACAGGGTAATGGAGAACAACACAAGCTGAACAACAAAAAGAGAAAAGAATTAAAAAAAAAAAAAAAGATAGATTAAGAGATCTCATGGATGACAAAGTGAACAAATATTTGCATTATAGGGGTCCCAGAAAAGGAGAGGAAGGTGTAGAAAACTTATTTGAAGAAATAATTGAAAACTTCCCTAATCTAGGGAAGGAAATAGACATCCAAGTCCAATAAGCACCGAGAGTTCCAAACAAGATGAACCCAAGGAGGTCCACACAATGGCACATAATTAAAATGTCAAAGGTTAAAGATAAAGAGAATCTTAAAAGCAGCAAGAAAGGAACAAAAAGTTACTTAGAAGGGAAAATCTACAAGGCTATCAGCTGATTTTTCTGCAGAAACTTTGAGTATATCCTGCCACTTTCTTCTGGCTTGCAAAGTGCTGAAAGAAAAAAACAAAAAAACAAAAAAAAAAAAACAAAAAAAACATACAGCCAAGAATACTCTACCAGACAAGATTATCATCCAGATTTGAAGGAGAGATGAAGAGTTTCCTGGACAAATGAAAGATAAAGGAGTTCATCACCACTAAAGCAGCCTTACAAGAAACAATAAAGGGACTTCTTTAAGTGGAAAAGAAATGGCCGTAATTAGAGATAAGAATATTATGAATAAAAGATGTAAATTATAACAACATACACATAAAATGTGGAGAAGGGAGTAAAAATGGAAGAAAAGGGGAAAAAGAAAAAGCCCCCCCACCTTTGGAATGCCTTTGAACTTAAATGACCATCAAATTAATATAGACTGCTCTATACTTGGAATGTTCTATGTGAACTTCGTGGTAACCACAAGCACAAAACCTATGATAGACACACAAAAAAAGAAAGAGAAAGAAAGCTAAATATAACACTATAGAAACTCACCAGTCACAAAGAAGAAGAAAAAGGAACAAAACAACCAGAAAACAAATTTTTAAAATGGCAAAAAGTATCAATAATCACTTTACATGTAAATGGCCTGAATGCTCCAACCAAAAGACATAGGGTGACAGAGTAGATAAAAAATCAAGACCCATCTATATGCTGCCTACAAGAAACTCACACCTCAGACCTAAAGACATACACAGACTGAAAGTGAAGGGACGGAGAAAGATTCACCATGCAAATGGAAGTGAAAAAAAGCTGGGGTAGCAATACTTACATCAGACAAAATAGACTTTAAAACAAAGACTGTAACAACAATTATTACATAATGACAAAAGGATCAATCCAACAAGAGGATATAACCATTATAAATATCTATACACTCAACACTGGAGCACCTAAATACATAAAGCAAACATAAATGGACATAAAGAGAGACATTCATGGTAATACAATAGTAGGGGACTTTAACACCCCACTTCTGTCTGGACCATCCAGACAGAAAAATCAATAAGGAAACAATGTCTTTGACCATCTTTGGACCAAATGGACATAACAGATATATATGGAACATTCTATCCCAAAACAGAACACTCATTCTTTTCAAGTGCACATGGAACATTCTCCAGAACAGATCATATACCAGGCCATAAAACAAGCCTCAATAAATTTAAGAAGACTGAAATCATACCATGCATCTTTTCTGATCACAACAGTATGAAACTAAAAATAAGTCACAAGAAAAAAGGAAAAAACAAATATATGGAGACTACACACCATGATACCAATAGGTTAAAGAACCAATAAAAGAAGAAATAAAATACATGGAGATGAATGAAAATGAAAACACAATGGTCCAAAATCTTTGGGATGCAGCAAAAGCGGTTCTAGAGAGAAGTATACAGTATACAGTGATACGGGCCTACCTGAAGAAATAAGAAAAAGCTCAAACAATCAAAACTTACACCTAAAGGAACTAGAGAAAGAAGAACAAACAAAACCAAAGGAAACAATAAAGATCAGAGCAGAAATAAAAGACCTAAAATAACAAAAAAAAAAAAGAAAAAAAAACTCAATGAAACGGAGTTTGTTCTTCGAAAAGGTAAACAAAACTGACAAACCCTTAGCCACATTCATCAAGGAAAAAAAAGGACCCAAATCAAAAAAAAAAAAAAAATCAGAAATGAGAAGAGCTGACACCACAGAAATACAAAGGATTATAAGTGAATACTATAAAAATTATATACGAACAAATGGGACAACTTAGATGAAATGGTTAAATTCCTAGAAACATACAGTCTTCCAAAACTGAACCAGGGAGAAATAGAACATCTGAATAGAACAATTACAAGTGACAAAATTGAATGGCAATCAAAAAAATATCAAAAAAAAAAAAGAAAAGAAAAAGTCCAGGACCAGGTAGATTCACAGGGGAATTCTACCAGACACTTAAAGAGTTAATACCTATTCTCCTCAAACTATTTCAAACAACAGAAAAGGAAAGGAAGCTTCCAAATACATTCTATGAGGCCAGTATTACCCTGATACCAAAAGCAGGCAAAGACACCACAAAAATAAAACTATAGGCCCGGGGGGTGGAGCAAGATGGCAGAGAGTAGGAGACCTGGATTTCATCTGGTCCCAGGAATTCAGCTGGATAGGGATCAAACCATTCTGAACACCTACGAACTCAACAGGAGATGGAAGAAAAGAATAGCAACAACTCTCTGAACAGAAAAGCGACCACCTTCTGGGAAGGTAGGAAGTGAGGAGAAGTGAATCCGAGGTGATATGTGGGAGAATAGACGGCGGGGGAGGGGGGGGCCTCCGTCAGCCGCTACTGGCAAGTGACAGAGCCGTGGAGCACAAAATTGGAACTTTTAGAAGTCAGCTCTGCTGAGGGAAGTCGCTCTAGCGGCTGAGTGGGGGGTGGATCCCTTGCTGGGACAGTGTGGTCTCAGGACCCTTGGGGTCACAGAAAGACCGGGGGTGCCTGAGTGCAGCAGAGCTCCCAGGTATCAAAGCAGGGAAGCCGGCTGCAGAGACGGAGCTGAGGAGTGGGCCCTCCAGCTCAGGGTTGCCATAAACCGTGATTGCAGCACAGTAGGGCCACTGCTCCTCCAGCAGGGACCCAACAAGCGCAGATCCGGGGAGACTCCCCTTCCTCCCCTGGGAGGAGCGGCGTGGGAGCGCACCGCAGGGATCTGCAGGGTTTGGAGACTCCACACGGGGTCATGTACCAGAGATAGAAACGCTCGGTCACAGGCCAGGTGAGCATGGAGTGTGGAG